GGCTGATATCAGCCTGACATGTCGCTAGATGTTGCCCCGAAGACAGAGAGATATTACCTTGAATAGGCTGCCCAGACTGTAGCTGCTGGGGGGATGGATAGGTCGAACGGGGACTTACATAATGCAGACAGGAGATGCCAAGTTCCTGTTCACCCGCCCGTACGGAGCACACCTGCGAACTGCTCGAAAACAACTATCATGGAGCCCAACGAAGGTAGTCTGTAGAGTCGAACTATGAGTCAAACTTGAAAATAGGGAGTAACTCGATCTCGTAATGCTAAGCGTGTTTGTGAGACGTTGGGGGGGAGGTGGAGCATTGCTGGCTCCAGTGCAGTGCTGGGATCGCAAGAACCAGGATCGGCCGACAAGATAGATCAAAGCTGAAAGTGCGAGGGTGTCTCAACCGCAGGTTTGGAACTCCCACTGTCGTTCCGGGCCTTGGGAGTCACACCGGCGGCGGCAATCGCTGTGAAGCGCAGGAGGCGATAGGCTGTGGAAATGCTCCGCTCGACGGAGGGCTTGGCATGCAGCTTGTTTCAAGGTCAAGTCGGACCCTCAGGCCGCGAACCACGGACGCAGCGTCGGCATGAGGCTGCCGCGTGACGGTGAATGTGCCGGGCGAGGATGGGCGGTCGTGGGAGCGGGGTCAAAGAGGCGCGCGCCCAGCAAAGCCAAGCGGCGCCGAGAGAGCCAAGAGCGCCAAGAGAGGAGCAAAGAGGAGCGGAGCAATAGCGCGGAGGGGAGGGCCGACAGCTGCAGGTGGCGCTGAGGCTGTGCTGCTGATGCTCCAGGACGGCAGCGAAATGCCCCGAGCTCGCCATGGGTTTCACGAGCCGGCTGCGTGCTCGCCATCCGTGAGTCCAAGTCGTATGTTGCTGTCTTTTTAATTTCAAAGGTGACCTGTTCGCGGTGAGGCATGGATGATATCTGGTGGCTCGCAGCCGAGTGTGAGCCGACGTCGGGCAATGCAACGGCAATCCTGCTCGCTTTGGGACGACACATGCTGCATGGCTTGATATGCAGCGAGTTATCGGTAGGATCGAGTGGTGCACGTCGCGCTGGCTGGCTGGCCGCCTGCATGCTGCGTCCGTGATGCGATGTGACAGAACACCGCAAGCAAGATGTCTTACCGGCGCGCATGCACCGGGTGCCACAGGGAGACAAGCGCACCTCTCACAAAGTGGCCAGCAAAACGTGCCAATGTGGTCTGTCCATGGCCACGTCCGTGTGCCGTGGAACGGTGAGAGACACTGATTAGTGCCGTGCGCCGGGATTGTTTTGATTCCAGGACGGCTGGTGCTGGTGCGTGGGCGTGGGCGTGGGCTGGTGTTGGGCTGCAAGCTCGTCGCAAAGCCACTCCGGGGCTCTCGCCATCGCGAGGCCACATGTCGTGTGCGACGCAAAAGGAGTCGTGAATCGAGATGGTGGCCTGCCTTCATCTCGTGAGCGGCGGAGCGTCAAACAAGCATGACTTCATTTCGAGGAGATCTGGCTGGTCCCACGCTCCGGCTATTCCCAGCTCGTTATTGATCAGCAGGATTCAACCGCCTCATCTACCGGGAATCTCGCGTTGCTTCTGTTCGCTACCGAGGCTGATTCCAGGCCGTTATGTCCATAGTACTCATGTCTGTCGTGATGGAAGGCCACGCGGTGTTTACTGTTACGCTCCTGACTCACCCGGGCCTATTCCCTCCTACTCTTGCTCCTCGTCCTCCTTTCTCCAACGCCCTCGACGCCAGCACATACACGCGTAGGGCCAACCCTGCTGGGGTGCCGGGTAGAAACTGACGGACCGTCTTGGTGGCTCTTGGGCGCGTCTCCCCCTCAGCCCAGGCCGCCCTCTTGCACGCCTACGCCTTGACTCTTCCTTGACTCTCGGGTGTGGTGGACGATCCCCGTCGCGGTCTATACCCACCTCTTTCGGCAGAATTGCGACCCCGGCTCCAACACCTCGGGGCCTTCGAGAAGCGTCAGCGCGCCGCCGTGTTTGCTGCTTTAGGGGATGCTCAGGATTTGTTTGATTGTTGCACAGGGGGCGCCGCAAAAAGCAGGTCATTGCTGATACCAGGCGTCGTAGGCCAATCGCACGCCCACGCCGGGCGGTGGCCGGCCAAGGCCACCTATGCAATGGCGATGCTAATCGTGTTCCTAATCGTGATGCGTGAATGGGGTTACAGCTCGACGGCGGTGCGGTGAGGGCGGCAGGAGGGCGACAGGAGGGCGACAGGACCGTGGCTGCACGGAATCCCAGCGCGCTGGCTACGGATCTGCTCAGGGGCCGTGACCAACTTCCTCCAGGCGTCGCTAGCTCCAGTTTCCGCGTGCCCTCGTCCCGCCGCCGCGACGGATGGGTGAATGCCATGCCGCTTTGGGGTCCCTCCAGCGGCCTCCTGGGCCACGGCCGACGACGACGACAGCAGCTCCTTTATCTCCACCCACACTAACTGCCCGACCCATGCGGCGCCTAGCCATCCTCCGCTGCCCAGCAACACGGACACGTTGATAAATAGAATGCCCTGCCGCGCCCCAGCATGGCCTGTGAAGGACTGCTTCATCCTACGCCCTACGACTCTTGTCAGGCTGACCTCACTATTACTCACAGCAGCCCCTATTCTCTCGTCCCAGTCTGTTGTTTGCAGGCCGTTGTTTGCATTCCTGTCCCGCCCGCTCCTCGTCATCGCTGTGCTGCCTTGGTAAGCCCGCCCAGGCTGCCCACCACCACTTGGTCCTTGGAAACCCGTCCATCTCTTCCTCGACTTCCGCACCATCCGTCTCTTGCTGTGCCGTTCCACACGTATCCGCTCTACCGCCCGCCGCTCCGCCGTTTCTGATTTCGCTCGCCGCGCACCTGGAAGGAACTCGCGAGTGATCCGGCCTATCAGCATCCAAGCTCTTGGCACACGACTCCGTTCACAGCCTCAAGCGGCGAATCGTACCACTTGCACGGCGCATATATAACAAGTCGCCTCCCACCCCACGAGCGCCATCTACATCCGATCTCCATTTATCGAGCCACATTGCCTCTTGCCACCCTCACCCTGACTCGAAAGAACGACATTGTGGCAGACATCCAATATCTCGCCCACCTCCAACCAACCCAAGCACATGACAGCGCCTCCACATTCACACTAGTCTGCCCTGCCATCACCAAACCTTTCACGACGTCTTCGCTAGCTCTGAATAGCCTGCCCGAAGGCAGGATTGCCCCTACGCGGACATATCTCGACATTACGTGAACATCCACACCCACAATCGCCATGTGTGTCGCCGAACTCAACGTATCTCTCTTGCCCTGCCGCCACCGGTGGTACCACCTCGTCCGCACCTGCACTCCCTCCTCCAACTTGGCCAACTGTGGATCCAAGCTTGGCATATCAGGCTGGGAGATCAAGTGCGACTTCTGCCCCTACTGCGCAGGATGGAACCTCTCCACGTCTGAATATCGCCTTGTTGGAAATGACCGGGCTCCCGCTGTTGGCGGACTCTCCCGCGTGCCATCTCTGACTCTAACAACCACTCGCCGCGAGTCCCGACGAGGAAGTCTGTCTAGGTCGGACAGCAGCACGAGCATCACCATGATGGCACAGGAGAAGAACCGGGCGATGAATGCGAGGGTCGATGCCTACTTCAGAGTGGCACCTCCGGAGACGGCCCCCCTGCCTATGTCTTTGCTAGAGGTTGACGACGAAGACAACCGAAGTGCGCCGAGCCCCAGCGACACATCCAGCGACGGCCACGAGAGTCTCAGACAGTCATCCACCTCGTCTGCAACCGACAAGTCCGGTTTGATGAAGAAAATGCGCTTCAAATCCAAGAAGCTGTCACTCAGCCTCTTCAAGTGAGGGGTTACACTGGAGTTAGAATAATGTTCGCGCTCCAAGTTCAACTCCTCCTTTCCCATTGCATCAGACCGTCGACGGAAGCCAGCGGAACCCGCAGCACGACCCACCAGATCCCGTTTCGGGCCGATGCGGGCGCAACTATCGACCCTGCTCCTTGTACGGGATACACCAACAGTCATCTCCACTCATCGCCAGCATCTCCACTCTTCGCTTCACCACTTGTCCTTAACACCGATATTTTTTTTATTACAACTTCCATTATTTTCCACTCTCCAGATACCCATATAAGTATGCATGCAACAGATCGGCATATCATCAGAAGGTCGCAGGACGCGGGCCAGCGGGCTCACCCTGGCCTCGGCGTTTTTCGCAAAATAAAGACGGACAAACCAAATTTGAGAACAAGACGCAAGGGCGACCTTTCAGTTCTCATACTTTTTCCATTCCACAGTGCAGGGTTTAGCGGGATCTTTCGGGTGTTATTGGGACTCTCTCACACGGGCATGTATGGGCGTCGGGCGATGATATCGCAACAAAGGCTTTTGCTGCCAGCGAGCAACCAGACGCTTTTCGGTATGGTCAGGCAGGACAGGGCATATAGACACGGACATCATGTGTCTCTTTTTCTGCTCTTTCAAATCAGTATTACGTTTAGTTACCATCGCTACGATATCCAACCTGGGCGGCATTTCATCCATGCATCTGTCGTGCACTTTTATCAATCAATTAGAGTTTACAACCTCAGTGGTTCATTTACACGTCGCTATTCCTACTACACTTCCTGTCATGCTTGCCGTGCAACAAACACCACCTCCACTCTCGTCTTCATCACTACCGCACAACCGTCGCCCTCAGCAATCTATCGCTCAGGTACTAATCAAACAAGCGATTAAATTAATCCCAAAACCCACTCCACCACACCACGCTATTCCTTCCTCCCGCACGCACGCCCGCACGCACCCTGCACCCCGGACCCACCCGCCAACCAGAAATTTTCCGCCCTAGCGTCCTCCCACCACACACACACAAATTGAAAAATTCCCTCAGTTCTCTTTACAATTACCTTCCTCGGTTGTAAAGTGTGTGTGCGTGTATGTATATATGCCAATTAATGTTTGGAAAACTCTATAAATAAATTCAAAGCAATTTGTTTTCAAAGACGCTTTAGCTCAATTGGGAGAGCGCCAGACTGAAGTGAACTTTGGTTATTAATATCTGGAGGTACAGTGTTCGATCCACTGAAGCGTCAATTTTTGCGGTTTTTTTTTGGGCAGCTGGGTTGTAATCTTTTTATTAAGGTAGGGGGGAGAGGGACGAAAGAGGCTACTTACTGTGTGTATGTATTGTACCGATGCTCTGGCACAGCGGGATTGACGTTGCAATGTTGGGGAGATGTCGAGTGCTATGGCTTTATTGATGGATGGTGGTAGGTATGAAGATCACTGGGTTTGGGGGGCACGTGAGAACTATAGGTCCCCGGAAATAAGTCCACTCACTCGGGACGGGCCATGTACGGGAGTCTGTATGTGAGAACGCACTCACTGCCGAATGATGTGCATAACCGCAGATTGTTCCTCCCGCAATGCAAGAAAGGCGCCAAATTAGCGGTAGGAACCGTGTTGCAGGTGTTATGCATGTGGAGTTGAGCGGCATGAATGAGGTGGACATATGGAAGGACTGTCTTTGCCCAGCGAATCGTATGTCTGCCGGTTCTCTTACCTTCCTATGGGGGGTTGGACGAGCGGAGCTATCATGTAGGAGATGCTCGATTCGATCCCGGGCATATACACCTTCTATTTACGAGGTCCGATGTTCTACTGTTTTCGGTTTTTCTTGCATGCGAATGTTGTCTTTTGAAGCTACTTGCTTCCCTGAGGGATTAAAACCCCCTGTGCTAATATAACTATTGCAAATCCCTTTTATAGTGTATATCGATGCACGTCCTCAGATTCGGACTCGAAACCTCTAAAAGGCGAAGGTTTCGTATTAAGCCATCTCTATCTCGCTTTCACTCAGCATCTACCCCCCCAAGAAATCCCGCAACGACGCTACGATAGAACCACCGCAGATCTACACACACATCCTAAAATATTAAGATCTCTTCACTTCGTACATATATTTCTAACGTTTATGTATATGCTATATATATAATTACAAGGACGCGTGGCCTAGTGGTAAGGCATCTGCACCCCACGATCCATCCGCTAGCCCTGCACATGACCAGGCGAAAGTCTAGGGGGGCCCCCAAAATTCCCAAGACTCTATTAAGACTCCAAATCTAAAATTTGGGGCTAGCGGAAGGGTGATGCGGAAGATCCTTAGTTCGAGATTCTAAGCGTGTCCAATATATATTTTTGAGTGTTTAAGAAATTTTTAAGAAGTTAAGAGAGCGGACAAAGCGTACAAGTGCTTAGCGTTTGAGATAGGGGAGTGTTATTTTTTTAGCCGCTCTTGTTGTAGCGCACCTTGTAGTTTGCACTACCTGCGTTCTTGTTCTTTTGCTTGTTGTGAAGGAGTACATGGTATTTGAGCAATGTATTTGTTTACTTTACAAAGCCTTAAGATGTAGAATATCCTTTTGCGAGGCATAGAATTTACAATATTAAACGACATTCACCTTACTTTCATTCCAATCTAACTATTTTCTAAAATTGAGGAAGAGTGTTGTTGATAATGGTAGAGAATAAGTGGTTTAAGGGGAAGGAAGAGAAAGTGGAAGGGAGTTTGGATATCTTGATTATTAATTAACATATGCGCAACTAGTGCCAGTACAGAAGACCTCAAGTTCTAGCTAGATTTCCGTTCTTCTAAAGATGTCGAGTTTCTCTTAACTATATCTACAGCGCCAATCTACCATGGCTTACGTGCTGGAAAACTTTACAAGTTACTTGTCTAGCAAGAATTACGTGCGTATTCTACGGCTCACTCTTCTCAATTCGAGTACTAGTTGTTCTGCGACTCGACGAGCACACATATCGCGAGATGCCTATATTGGTGCCACGGCTTCTTTTATAAACGGCCGTTAGAAACATACCAAAGACCCTACAAACAAATACCGCGGAGAATAAGTGTAACAAATCAAATAGTTCCCCGAGTTGAAAGCTCATAGACGAGTAGCAGTAAGCAATCTCTAGTTGGACCTAAATCCCTCTCTGGATGTCCGTCTCAAGACATCATAGCAATTTCTCTACTGTTCAGTGTCATTGTGTATTCGAGGGATTTTAAGAGCACTGCGGATAATTTGCCCGGAGAAGCTAAGAAAGCATGCGTAACCTCCAACACCGCAGTCAGGATAGCATCTTCAAAGGCCAAAGCAAAGTTTATACCTCTCCTGCTTTACCTCACGCTCTGTACCACGGCTGACAGCCTTTGATCCCCAGTATTTAGATTCCCAGAAAGCAGCTACGCCAATACACTTATAATCCCGACCGGCTCTCTAAGAAGGAACAAATTAAGCTTGCTGTGACATACACGACTATGATAAACAACATCGACTTTAGGACTTATCTACGAACACCATAACCAAACGTAGTCGCCAGGGACATTTCTTTCTGCGAATACGACACAAGAAATAGTCAAGACGAGGTACAGAAGAATGAAAAGGAGGTTTGGAACGTGCCCGCTTCCGACAGACACCTACGCGCGAGCCAGCCTAAGATCTCCGAATTCACAGCGTATGCTCCCGCGCCAAAAGTCTTCTCTATCAACCTTGCTGCAGACTTCCCGTCTTCTCAGTCCAATACAACGTGTATCTCTACTCAAGTTCTAAACGATGCTAACTTATGCGCAGTCTTTTTCAGTCATCCTCCCGGAGAAATCGCTTATAATGATCGTTTCGAGGATACCGAGCGTTTCCTCTCCCTCTTTGCCACCAATCGTACAAACCCAAAAGCCTTTTCTCGGGTGAGAATTCTAATCAACATGGCACTACCAATCGCCTCATAGAGCTCCCCCCTCCATATCTTGTAACCGGGCTGCAGGGAATCTTGAAGTATAGAAGCACCTATATTCCTGTGATCCTCGAGGGCGCAGTTGGAGAAGTGGAGCCAGGATCTGAGGTTGGCGTATGTGGTTGAGAATGGTCGGCAGTGTCTGCGACTAAGACGGGAGGGGGATGAATGACGACGAAGAGCGAAACGCGCGGCGTTCGCAATACATGACAGCGTAGCTGCGGAGGAGCTAATGTTTATTGAGGAATTATCTGGCCATGTCTTCTAGAACACTGCATTTTCAGGTCTCATCATCGAGTCGTACGCGTAGATGTCTATCCATGCACATAAGCGGCTAGCTGGGTAGTTCCTAGCTATAGGCACATTGTTTTATTCAAGTGCGTTGTTACGTTTTGTATCAACTATGAGAAGTGGACGCCTTACCGCTAGGCCACGTGTGCGTAGGGTTGATTCACAAGACACATTGGTGAGGTTCTGTGTGACTGGCGAATAGTCCGCCAGAGGACCAGAGAATTAAAAAGGCGGGGATGTGAAGATGGTAGAAGGACACAAGAATTTGAGATGAAGAGTAGATGTGATGTCCATTGTGATTGCTCTCAATAGGCAGACGCTCTATGAGGAAGGAAACATGTAGAAAGAAAAAATGGAGGATCTGCTTCGATCCTCGGGGTATCATATGCATACACTCGGATTCTAGACTCGACGTCCTTCACACCCCTTCCTCCTTCACCTCAATGTCTCCACCCCCCTCCTTCCCCTCCTGCAGCTTCCTCTCCATCTCATCCCCCAACTCATTCAAAAACCTCGCCGCCTGCCCTTGCGCCCTCTTTTTCTGTATCTTCTTCTTCTTATCCCTGATGAACTCCTTCCTCTCCTCCAACTTCCTATTCCTCGCCGCCCTCGCCTTCTCCGTATCCTGCCTCTCCTGCTCCAGATTCGACATCTGCGCCCTGCGTTCCTCCTCATCCTTTGAGAACTGGAAGTATCCCGTGCCCCGTTGCCGCATTTCTTCGCGCCCGTCAAAGTGCACCTCCGGGGGCGGCGTGAGCTCTTTGTCGCGCTTTGCCGCGAGCTCGGCCATCTGCTGCGCAATGGTTTCGTCCGGGTTGAAGGCTTGCGTCTGCACCGTGTCGCCGTAGATGACGCTTGCCGGCATGCTCGGGCGCGCGGTGAATCTGTCCGGCTCGTCTGCGGCCTGTGTTAGTTGCTTGCGTTTTTCCCGTGCGGCTTCTGCTCTAGTCCCTTTGCGCGTGCGCCCGAACTCATCCATGTACTCGATCAGCTCCTCTTCGGACTGTTCCGATTCCGAGTCCGATTCCGATTCAGGCGCCTCTGCACCCCCTTCCTTCCCCTGCTTCTCTGCCCACTTGGCGTCGAAGTCCACGCCGTACTTGTCATCCAAATCCTCTATATCTCCGCGCTTCAGCGCGTGGTACAGCCGCGCCTTCTCTTCCATGCGTCGCTTCGTGCGCCGCCATGTCGCGTCATCCTCGGCCTTTTCCTCGACGGTGCGGCCGCGGTGTTTCTGCTGTGTGAAGGACGAGTCTTCGAGATCTTTGAGCGCGCGCTTCTTGACATTCTTATTGTGTGAGGAGAAGATGTCTTCTTTCTTTGATCTGGACCGGGAAGGTGCAGTCTTGTTGGGGCCGGAGGCGGATGCTTTGATGAGGTTGGAGAGCGCCGACGAGAAGGCCACGGAGCTGGAGCCGGATATTTCTTTTGCCGTCGTGCGGCCTTTCTTTAACGAACCGTAGAGATGCGCGTCTTTCGAAGCCATCATGCATGCGCTGGGGTGTGAGGAACTTGTACGCAGATGGTAGATGATTGGAGTCGGGGGTGGTCGCGGTGATGTCGGTGGTTGAGGTTCGCGCCGCCGCCGCGGTCGGAGCTTGGCAAATAGCGGGGCACGTGCGGGGTGAATGTTTTTCGCGACTTCGCAGCTACCCCACGACCAAACACCGAAAAGCAGCGGCGTGATCAGCATCGGCATCTGCGAAAGCGGCAGTACGGCGTCATTATCTTCAACTTTTACTTTTGCCAAAAGCACGCCAAAACCCCCCTGGAATTGACTTCATTCCCTTCAATTCAACCATCAAACAATCAATCAATCCACACCAACAACATCAAATTGTACACTCCACCATGCCTTCTCCACGCCAGGTTTTCATTGCAGTAATAGGTACCCCCTCTCCCTTCACCATACCTTCCAATTGATATCTAAATCTCTCTCTAGGCACCGGGGGCGTCGGTAAAGCCTTCCTCTCCCAGCTCTCCCAACTCGCCTCAACCCTCTCCCGCT